GCTCGACATAAAAGTAATCTTAAATGTTTAACGACCGGGGTAGCCGGCCGGATAGTGCTCAAATATTTACTGAACTAGAACTTACAACCCACTGGAGTCACATACACATTCTCATACAGTGATAGAAAAGCAAATACAACAGAACAAAACGAACAAGCTTAGTCACAGCTCGATAGATTATCTACCCCACCAAACTTAACACCCACGCATATCATAACGAATTGACGATTGAAGGCTGTTTCTAACGCGTCGGTCACCATGTGCCGAGTCTGCTCAGATATCAGTTCAAAGGAATAGAATACCAGGCGAAATTCGAAAATCAATTTGGGCTGGTGCGAGGCTCCTGTTCCCGGGGTGAGCCGGGAGAGTCACGGCCAAGGTCGGTCGCGCCGATCTCCCCCTCCACCCCTGTGTGCCCCGTCCCAAGCTAACTCCCCTCCCGCTAACGAGCGGCTGCGTCGATACCATACCGCTCATTGAGAGCTCGCACTCACACTAACATCTTGTACCTACATAAAGAAATTTACACGTGCCCCGCTAATGTTTAGGTAGCAACGCCGACTTGCTCACATAGCCTTTATGGTTTAAGAAACAAACAGGCCTGTAATCTCGCCTCAGTGATCGATTGAGCAACTCTATATTTAGGTAGGTACGGCCGACACGTTCAGTGTTAAGCCTCCATCGAGCTGGAAAATACCATAGTTTACAGTACATGGGATGTGGTGTTTTATATTCACGCACCGTACTACTTGCGTGAAGATAATGTTATCAACTAGCGTTATCACTCAGCCATTTATCGCCACATATACAGGGGTACACAAAGCCTGGAATGATAAGACTGTTTATTATGCGCGAAAATCGAATGCATTTGCAAACAGATCCAAGTTTTGTAAGACACCAAAGCATGGCAACTTCCTCAAGCAGTTATCTTTCACAATTTTGAGAGGAGAGGAATGGTCAGGAAACCCACAAAAATAGTGTAGTACATACAACGTATACGACATTGAAATTGCTTGCTTTTCTTTTTTGTGGAATTTTAAACAAATGTGCTTGGAGCCGCGCCAGGACTAAAACAAAAACAACGTACATCAAGTAACATAGTCACCAGGAATTTCATGAGATAATCGAAAAACATTGTCTTGAACATATATCCTGGAAGGTCGAGAATCTAAGTGGCTATTCAATAATTTATTGGAGTGGAACAAGCCAGGCCAGGGCGGCGCGGCCTCCATCGGAGAAGTAGGCGACGTTTCATTGGAAACGGAAGCACGAAATGTTTCCCAATACACATCTAGACGAGGCCGCACAATCAGGTTTCACCTTTGCCTCAATGCCTCAACTTTACAAAATGTACACTGGTTTCAATATCTGCAGTTGCAAAATCGATACCTAGTACTTCGATACATTCATGAAGCGTTGCTTTCGAGACATTATTCTCATACAAAATGCACGAGCATTTGAAAAAGGACATTAAACAAGATGAGGACAGGTGTTCGGACTGGTACCGGGCATGACATATGGAAATTCTATGATTTATGACCATGTACCGTCGTCCTCGGAACTGTCTAGGGCCGAAAGAAAGACGCCAGTATTTTCTGCTTTGAAAGAAATATGAAGCTGTTCTATGACCACTGAATCATTTACTATGTAATGTAGTGTTGCTACAGGAAAATACTGCAAAGGCTCGGCTGAATTTAACTAAAAAAATGTTGGCACGAATAGAATAAAAAAAATTACAAAGTCCTGTAAAAAGGGAAAACAAAAGTTATTCACATCTTTGTTCCCCGGCTTAATTTCTGGGGATATTTTCAAATGCAAAGCAACTGTAATATTCCAGAGTCGTCTGGACGTTTTTCATTGTTCCTAGAAAATAGCAGCAATAATGAGTCGCCGGGGTTGTGGCTCCCCGGGGCTCCCAAAATATGCTGATGTAAACCCGTGCTGTCCCCCTTAATGCGATAATCTACCTCTGAGTTATGCAGAAATCTTGCCTGATGAAAATGTGGTCTTATTTTAATTTTTTCGCAGTGCAATGTTTTCAAGATACTTTAATTTCACAAATAATTTAAATATATGTGATTGTTTTTCGTCTTAAAGCTTTGAAAGGCTAGAATGAAATTCAATATAATGTAAATTCTATTTAGATTCATTACTCCCCGCAAATGCCCGCAATTCGTAAAGGATGATTAAAATTACTTACTGAAATCTCTTAACACATTTACAAGAAAATTCAATTTGAAAATGATTGTCTCCCGGATTGACTATTTTAACAGAAGATGGTCTACATTTAAAGTAAACGAGAGAAACGTATTCATCCGAATGGAAATCGCAAATTGTTTCTTATGTAAGCGCCATCCATCATTCACTCAGCGTAAGTTCGCGTATAGATCTCATAAAGAACCCGAATTGCTTTGTCTGAACCGGTTTGAGAAAATGTTCACTGTATGTTTTGCTACCTTATAAAATGGAGAAAGTTTTCAGAAATAATAAAACTAAAACTGTCTTGTTAACAGACATTCAAAGGTTTACGTTGAAGGAACATATCACCTATGTATGTATGGAGAAAAAGGTGGGTCTCTTTATCTATGTGTGGTGTTCATACTACGGTTGTTCAGGGCGCGAAGCCTCTCCCACGAGCCTCCATTGAACGAATCCCGGGCTCAGGCATCTATTTTTAGGGGCCAGGGGTGGCCCAGCCGGGGGGCCTGACGTCACAGCCCACCCCTACCCTTCACACAACCAAGACTTGGGAATGAACGCAATTTTCAGTGAAACGGTGACGGTAAAACATGTTGTCGAGAGGTATATTTTTCTTTCTACGTAATAATATATCTACCTAGATAATTTTGTCTACTTCGTAATTGGTGTCATTACATTATTAGCTACATAAATTCGTTTATTTATGATGGCCAGATATAATATACTCTGTATCGATAGGTAATTGCAATTACGAACATGTAGGTTTACGAATTCCGAAAACCAATTTAGTAAATCAATCTGCGTAATGACTGACGAAAATTAACCTTCAAATAAGAACATATTTATATTGGAAAAAATATGAGACTTAAGGTGTATAGATACTGAAAACATTGATCTTTATTAAAACCAAGACGTGGGTGGCAGACTGCTAAGCTGGTGAAGATAGACTGAATGGAAAAGTTAGTCTTTATGTTAAAAAGAGAAGGGGTAATGGACACTGCATTGTACTGGTGGAAAATACGAAGTTATTTGTTTCGTCTCCCAGCCAGTAGCAAGTCAACGCCCGAATAAAGCGGGAATAAAGTGAGAAGCAACTTAATATCGTGATATTCTAAATCTAAACATGTGTGGTAGACCTGACGCACTCGAATGCGGAAAATTGGCAACATTACCAAGGTAGTGCTCGTCATTACGCGGTTCGGGAAATATAGAGAACAAAGAATTTTAATTAAATTAATAAAGAAACACAGTGCTGTCTAAAATTGAATCTCAATCGTAACACAGAGGTTGGTTATAGTAGGCATGTTACAGCTATATTTTATAGGATTATTTTTTGATTAGTCGTTCAACATTAAAAACAGCACAAGCTTAGATTAAAAACAATTTAAGACGAAGAAAAGTATAAACAAAATTAGCAACGTGACGCATAAAATTAGCTTTTCCTTCAATTAATATATTCTTTGTTCTATATATTCTTGAAAATGTACGTAAAGAACAGATTAGATTGGATTTCTCACAGAGTCAGCGTTCTTGTTTTATCTTAAAACAGTTGCTTTAAAAAGAGGCAAAGCCGCCATGGCGTCGACTCCCACGGCTCACAAAGACATCGTTGAGAAACTGACGACACGGTTTAAAAAGTAACGAATTGACGCACATAGATACAACGAATGTAAGAAGAAACCGTTATAGGTAGGTGAGAAGTAGATTTCAATTGAGAAATGAGACATTTGATTTGAAAGAGACTTACGAGACAGACCGTCACTTTAATAACAAAAAGTTTTTTTATGGGATAGGTTGACAAACGAACAGACGGATGGATTATCTGTTTTTTTTATGTAATAAGTCGGCAAACGAGCAGTCGGATTACCTGATGGTAAGCAATCAGCGCCGCCCATGGACACCCGCAACGGAGGAGTTACGAGTGCGATGCCGACGTTTAAGGGGTTAGGGATTTGGAGATTTAGGGATTGGGGAAGGGTCCGGGAAGGGGAAGGATTGGGCCTCCGGTAACCTCACTCAGACGGCGAAACACAACGCTGTGGTTGCTTCACGCTGGTTTTCTGTGAGGCAGTGATATCACTCCGGTCGAGCCGACCCATTCGTGCCGAAGCATGGCTCTCCCACACTTATAAGTTGGTAAGCCCTTGGACACTCGTAATGCCAAGGACCTACTACATGTGCTTTGCCGGCCTCTTATAGGTAATTAGGAATAGGTGATGAAGAGGGGGGAGATTGGGCCTTCGGTAACTTCACTCACGCGGCGAAACACAACGTAAGTCTTGCTGCGCGCCGGTTTTCTATGAGGCCGTGGTATCACCCTAGTCGAGACGGCACATCCGTGCTGAGGCATGGCTCTCCCACATTTTTAAGGAATTATAACTTGTTGTTGTAAGGCTTGCAAAGATTCAAAGTAATTTAGACTCAACAGTTGTCGTCTAATCATTGATTTAATCTTAAACCCATAAAGTTGTAATTTATTAGTAACTAAATTCAATAAGCAATAAAAACCAGCCCAAAAGTATTTGGCGTGGTCAATTCTAGATTCAGATTTAATGACTTTAGAAAAACCCACCTTATTCTAGGTAAACCTAAACAGTAAAAACCAAATACGTTTGCGCAACTTTCCAAAAGGAACTGAGCAGTCTTGTGGCCTCGTGTTACATACAAAATGGAGGTACTACGAATGAAAACGTTGCTCGTACTTATTTAGCTTAATATTTATCGTGCATACTATCTCGCGTTTAATCAAGGGCTGCGTAGTGAGTGTAGCACTCAATTTTTTTCACTACTTTCTGGACGTTCAAGGACGCCTGTGTCATCACTACATAGTATAAAGTCGCTTTTTCCCTCCCTATATCTCTGTATGCTTAAATCTATCATCTTTAAGTGTGGGAGAGCCATGCTTCGGCACGAATGGGTCGGCTCGACCGGAGTGATACCACGGCCTCACAGAAAACCGGCGTGAAACAACCACAGCGTTGTGTTTCGCCGTGTGAGTGAGGTTACCGGAGGCCCAATCCTTCCCCTCCCTCAATCCCTCCTCAATCCCTTAACCTCCAAATCCCTAATCCCTAAAAGGTCGGCAACGCACTTGTAACTCCTCCGTTGCGGGTGTCCATGGGCGGCGCTGATTGCTTAACATCAGGTAATCCGTCTGCTCGTTTGCCGACCTATTACATTTAAAAAAAAAAAATCTTTAAAACTATGCAACGGTTTTTGGTGAAGGTTTTTTTATTAGATAGAATGATTGAAGGAAGGTTTTAACGTATAATAACATCAACGTAAGATTTGAAATTATTACTCGCGTAATTTCGGAGACACTACTGTTACTTACTACAAGAATTTTAGCTAATAGCTCGGACAAAGCGACCTAGAAAGACTGCTGGAACATCTTGGATGTCATCGCTTGAAAAACAACGAGTAAATACAATACGTATGTAATACTCACAAACCTTAATCAAAGCCAAAATTAATTGTTGCTGTCTTATTTACCTGTATCAAAACAAACAATATGGTTTTAGGTATGAATAAACAATATTCGGGTTCATAACTCTGTAAAGGGCAGATTGAATTGAAACACATTGACAATAAAGGTAAACGGGAATTGTTTGATGACGTTGTTTAACGAAATGTCCATTTCTAATTTTGTGTGTGTTATGAGACTGAAATTGAAGAGCTAAGTAAATGTTAGCTTTCCAACGTTCAAATCTGGTTAGTAAAATGTAGACAGAAGTTTAGTACCGTATTTTCAGTACTTGAATGAAAATAGAACATGATTATAACGCATGTAGGAACTAGATTATAACGTATATAATTTTAAGTAATGATACTGAATGTGATTATAATATTTCTAAGTGTGAAAACCAACTGTACACCGTTGCAGCACATGCTGTACACCGTTAATAGGTAAATATATGTATAAATAGTAGTTTAGATTAAGTACCTATAAAATTGTCAATACACATATTATATGCATTAGTTTGCCCTGTAATAGTAGTTGTATTTTGTGATAAATAAATAAAAATATGTTTGTTCGTATGTTTGTTTAATTAGTTTTTTAAGTGGCTTATACATATAAGCATGTATTGAATCAATTGTTGTCTGCTGACACTCCCCGCCACGCCATAAGCCTGAAAAGGCATTTGATGACTATTTCAGATCAAATAAAATTATTTTATCTCGTATCGGCACCGTTAATTACCGTAACCTTCAAGTTCTTATTAGACTCTTATAAGAATTTGAATTTTAGTATTTTAAAAAACATGTTTTGTACTTAATTCTATTCCATGTTGAGTAGTAAGTAACATTTGGACAAGGTTTTTATGATCGACAAATCTACTACATAAACGTTAATTAATAGATTATTCATATGTTACAACTGTTATAGTTCTGAGTGTCAGACCTTCATTCTCTTAGTATAGGTACCTATTGTACGAATGAAACAATATACTGTCCTTCCTTATTACAAACTAATGACTAAAATATCAAATTAAACTTTAACATTGGCCTGCTAGCGTCATGTGAAGTGGCTCGTGTGATGTTAATCTCACAAATATACATAAGAAATGTATGTTTTAATACAGGAAAAGTCTGGTTCAGACTCAACTAAATATAAAACAGAGTGCCATTTTCAGTATATTGAAATAATTTGTCTGAAATCATTTCAATACGGAGTACGGAGTATTTGGATTGATTGGGTCATATATTTAATATCACGAGAACGTTAAACCGTGTTACCTATGGAATATCGCCAACGTTTTGCCAATGGTGCGTTCAAAACATCGCATGTGAGTCTTGCTATGAAATAATACATTTGTGAGCCTTGAGTCGGCCGACGAACTCAGAAAATAGGAACGGTCACCGACCATCACCATTGAAACTCGAACGCAACTCGATTATAAAGTGACTATGGCATTGAGACTTATAAATGTGTTTGTACAACCAATTGGCAGGGTTTATTGCGCACTGTAAACACACGCAACAAACTGAAAAACAAGTGTGTTCATTAAATGAACGTATTCGTATTTAACAACGTACAATTTTTCGTCATACAAAATGGCGTCTTGTGCTGTCAAACCTTGTTATTTTATTACAGGCTGTACATAGCTATAACACACAATATTTACAAAGAGCGTTTTCGTGAAAAAATTCATCAAGGTCGACCGTTAAAGTGGATAGAAATTGTGGTTGTCGACCTTGCGACAGAGGTGCGGATTATTTAGTTTTATTAATACCGCAGTAAAAACACTTGAGATTTAGAGCCTAGCCTACAATCAACCTATTTGATAAGCGAATACCGTAAATATTTTCGAGCAGTATTTAGCAACATTGGTAGAGTGCGAATTTCGTCCAATGCATAATAATGTGGTTTGGACGAGAATGCGAAAGTACGACTAACATTGAAACTGAGCATGCCTGAGGGAAAATTGAGATACAAATTTAATTTCGCTCACAGCTACACTGGAATTTGAAAAATGGATGAGCATAACACAGTCTATTGTAAAATGCGACTTAGATTAAGGATTTCAAATCGGACATCTGTGAATGTTAAATTTGTGCTAATTATTTCATTCGCAAACACCACGAACGCGTCATGCCTCTGCAAGGAACACAAAAACCATTTTAATAATGTTGATATTAAGGTTTACATCAAACATATTCAATTACTTATTTATGCAAACGTCAATCACTAGCACGACCTTTAAATTACCGTAATTTACTGACCTCCGGGGCATTGACTTATAGTCAAATTATTCCCTGACGTTTTATAATTTAATATTACTGCTACCACTGAAACTCTCTTGGCACCTGATCGCTTTCTATTCTGGCATTAACATTTCAAACCTTAAAAGAGGAAAACGCTAAGGTTGCCAAATAACAGCTGCGAATTCGAATGGGTCTTGAATGAATAATCACTTATCAAAGTCGGGGATAGGTCCTCAAACGTATTTTCAATCTCAATGAAGTCAGTTTTAAATGCAAGACATCCTTGGGCCAGTCTGGCCTAGTAACGAAAGGAAAAAATGAATAAAAATTCGAACCGCCTTTTCCTTACTTGCAACAATATTTTAAAGAAGTAAATTATGTGTCCGCACAACTGGTTCAATGGAAGAGTTGCGAGTGAGATCTAAACTGGTACGTATCGATGTTATCGCTCCCTCGATGTGACAGAGTAGGAAACATCGATCACTGACTTTTACTCCAACGAAGTCATTAACAAACGAATTCAAACTTTATTACCGAGACGACAAGCAACATAGTTGCTCTAGTAATAAGAAACTATAGCGTTTTACATTAAACGATGTTCTACACGATTTATTCGACGCCTTAGCAAAAACTTTTTAGAGCAAATGTGTTTGGTGAAAGTAAGTTCGAACTACGGAATAATGGTGTTGTGTAATTTAAGTTAAATTTCATGCTGGCTGGGTTACACACAGGCAAACGTTTAAAGAACAATGGACCAAGCCAACGTCAGTTGTTATCTTAGAAGTGTGCAAATAGGCAAATACTCTAGTCAGAGTGCATTGCACTCCGTCAGCGCAGCCGCATCGCCGACATACGTCATCTAACTACCTCGACAATACAGATACAAAATGTCTCTAATAAGCACCTTGTTTGAATTGGAAACGTTCTCCTACGAAGATATTGATGCTAAGGCCGGGATCCTACAATGAAGATGTATTATTTAAATCTGATTTCGATTTCGTTTTGTTTGCTGTCATGAATATTAAAACAACAATTTAAATAAATGATTAGACTTTATATCAAGCAAGTACGGCTTAAATTACAGTAGCTAATCTTATATTCATGTTATTATTGCTTCGTTGAGAGTTGACTTGACCTTTCAAGTAATTAGCTTGTTTTTCAGCGATACTTCAGAAATATCTAATACAAAACAAAGAAAAGATACCTAAGTAGATAGAATTCATAAAATTACGCAGATAGAGCGCTAAATTTAAAAATAAGTTTCGTATCAAAAACGTATAGATCAAATTACTCTATGAAGTAACCAGAGAAATCGCGTTTTACGAGCAGTAAACTAAAGCCGTCGAATTAATTAAGGTTTTATGAGGGCCTACAATAAATGTCAAATAAAGTGTCGAAACGGGGCAGCGGGAGGTCAATACGGTAGGGTGGACAGTGGACATTGACAAGACTATGGAATATATTTCTGTGGCCAACATTATTTTAGACCTGGTTCAACCATGGTAGAGACCAGGGTCCTTCTTTTTTTCTACCATACTTGATTTTACGCATCGCTCATACAAATTTTCCTCGTAATCCATAGCCACAAAATAATTATTTTCAACACGATCCTAGGTTTCTACTTAAACGAACAACGTCATAATTTCGCTGATCCTTGATTCAAAGGACCTATTAAATGAATGTTTCAATGAGAATGTTGTCATAATAACACTTGTAAGGTAAATGTTTGGTACATTATGTATCAAGTTTGCGACTTGTTACTGGATATTAACTGGAACGAAGCATGTGATATACTTACTAATAAAGTAAGTGACAAAATGGCGGCGTAGTTTAAAAAAAACTTTCCCCACGCATCGCCTGTGTTCATTTCAGACTCACACATGCAACGCAACCTTTTTAGTATTGTTATTGACATTACGGTCCACATTTACACAATAGATAACACAGTGTCTACCAATAGCATACAAATGCACGACAAACGGTCCCATACACATGTGACGGCCGACATACATCAACACAATGCTATATTGTATATACCTATATCAGGGTTGCCTAGCTAAAAATACATAGCCAATCAATTAAAATCGTAAAATACCCTTAGCGCCTTAACTACTATTTTGCAACTTACAAGGATCACAATTCTAATCTGATCTATGACGAGACATTCGAATTACTTCAACACTTGTTTTATGCATTAAATTTAAGCTTATTTAGTTATTTCAAGGCAAACTACTTCGCTTCCAAATACAAATTCAACCAACTGCCAATCATGTTATCTCTATAATAATGATTTCTTGGTAGCACAAGGTGCCAACCCTACTTACAATGTACACAAGCAATATCGTCATTGTAACCATGTGACACACGAAGCCTCCATTGGTTAGTGCGCTTGCGCACAGCGTCAATTTATAACCGACGACTAACTCGCTGCAATTTCTACTATCAACACCCTAAGGAAACGCAT